CAGTTTCGTAATCTTTTACACAATCAGTAGGACCCCTTGGACGGGGGATCAGCCAGCCGTAAGGCCGCTACCTACACACATAATAAACGCACACAGACATACATAACTCGAGTTGGTTTCGAACCCACGATCCCTGTGTTCGAGTCGGCGAAGGCAGTTTATGGCTTAGACCGTGTTGCCACTGGGATCGGCAGGTATGGTAAAAACAGAGATGATAATAAGAATATGAGATAAAATATGAAACAGCTGAAGCACCCATTCTTCATTCGGTTTAGTTAAAATACATTCTTAAAAGGTAAATCTGTCCCTGTGCTTAATTAATTAATATGGGGAAGTGGAGGTATAGCTCCATCGTTTTTATCTCGGCACTAGATGGAGGTGAGTGGTCAGCTTCATGCTCTAGCTTTTTATTCCCGGGAAGAGCACACGGTACCCACTGGACATGAAGCTGGCTGGGACCCACTGCCAGTACAGACGCTGCGGAGAAGAGTAAAACCCTTTGGCTTTGCTGGGAATCGAAAACCAGTCGTCCAGCCCGTAAAGAGACCATATACCTTCTGAGCTATCCCGGCTCCTAAAATACGCTGTAATGACATAACAACATTGTTTATTTTCACACGGTATATCTTTACTAGACATGTACTGTCTTCGCTCGTTTGGAAACCGGGATCGTGGGTTCGAATCCCACTTAGGGAATGGATGTTTAGTTTGTATGTGTGCGTTTTTTGTGTTTGTGTACAGGTAGAGGGCTTGCGACGAGCTGATCACCGGCCGAAGGAGTTCTACCGAATGTGTAAGATCTAGAAAAACCGAACCGGAGAAGTTCATGGAGGTAGGCCTAGGCCCACTGGCGCTGTAGTGCCAAGGGGAAAAAAAATCTTTAATAACATCTCATGTAATGATATTAACCATGTGAGCTTCATAAACTACAGTTTAAATATCTTCAGCCTTACCCATCATCAAAGTTTACTCCCAAAACGCAAGCGATAGGATATTAGATCTGTTTCCGTCTTCAGTCAAGGGGGAAACTTATCTGAAGCGTACGTTACAAAAAGCCAGTCACAAGCACTAGTCCAGATTCCTCAGATAAAGTGCCCTTTTGCCTGAAGACCGAAATACAAGTTTCCACGTTACGTTTTGAGAATAAACCTGTGAGACAAAAAAAAATGCCATAAACGTTAAAACGTAACTACGTCCTATAATGCACTTTCAAAATATGAATTCATGAAAGAGGCGAACATAATAGGCCATTCTAAAATCATAACTTACACGTGTGAAACGTCTGAAGGTTTGGATTGGATTGATGTGGCTCGTGACTATGTTCAGCGGTGAGGAATTACATGCTTAACTGAACTAATGTTGACAGACAAATGTTCACCTAGACGGACTTTATATATGTTTCATTTAAACACATTATAATCAGCCTAACTAATTTCATGGGTAATCCAAACTCATTGTCCCAGAATCTCTTCTGGGGCGCTGAGAAAACTTCAGTTAATCTGTGTTGTATCCGAGTCGAGATCTGAACCCAGAATCCCCCGAATAAGATGCTGGAACGCTAACCAATGAATGGTCCGTACTGTATGGGCCCCAAGCTGGACATGTCACAGTATGGGCTGTGCTCAGCTACCTAAACCGAAAGTTCGTTTATCACGCGCGTAAACGCTGTAAAAAATGATGAACTTGTAATTCAACTTCATCAGCTTAACATTATCCGTATAGTCTACTCAGACAGCGAACTCCCAAAGTTTGGGCGAGGCATGCACAAAGCGTCTGTTGCTATAGAAACAACTGTGTTCCAAGCCTTGCTCCTCTGGGACCGTGATGTTGGTTGGAGGCCAAGCAAGTTCCGTCACTTCAGAGAGCTTGAAATGTTTTTTCAACTCCTGACAGCTTGATTTTCGGATTAATCGCCAGTCAATTCACACTTTCTGAGACGTTTAGAATCTCAACTCAATCAGCAAAGAATCTGACAACGCAAGTGTGCAACATGGGCCTACAGAAGCCACAGATAGAAATTCTTAAGTCATTCGATTCGGTCGACCAAAATGGCTGTGGGTTCAAAACCCGCTGAAATCACAGACTTCGTTATTTTTGTGTCTGTGTTGGCCTGTATAGGTAGCTGCCTTGCGAGAAGCCGATCCCTCGTCCAAGGAGTCCTAGCAGCTATCTGTAAAATTCATATTTTTATAATAATTCCGGTTGGGAACAGGCAAGAGGGTCCGATCGCTCACAGGGGAAGAAGAAGAGACAACAAGACTCGCATATTTCAGCACCGGCTTAACCTGGTGTGTATGTCTCTACGACGAAAATTTGTCCTTCGATCACAACAATCCGTCAGATGTATGATCTATAAGTCGTACTATCATTCAATTCGCAGGGGCAGTATTGGAGATGGTGTGCTACGTACGTTGCCATCATAGTATAGAAGTTTCTTCTATATGTTTCGAACAAGTTTACCATCAGGTAGCTAATTTAGGTAGTTGCTACACTCTATTTATAGTTCGTTTTAAACCGTTGTTAAAATTAGGTTTAAATTGTTGATTACATTTTTCAAAATTAAATAAATCTCCCCCCCCCTTTTTCGAACTGTATTTTACGTCGCTAGTATGTCATATGCCTATCACAGTGGCCGCGCGGTCTAAAACATGAACTGTCTTCGCCCTCTCGAACACTGGGATCGTAGGTTCGAATCCCATTTGAGGCATTGATCTGTGTGCGTTTATTCTCCGTTTGTGCTGTCCTGTGTGCAGGTAGAGGCCTTGTGACGGGCTGATGCCCCGTCCAAGGAGTCCTACCGACTATGTAGAGGATCAAGAAACTGAAAAATCCAAGGTCCAACAAAAGGACCGTAAAGCCACAGTCAGACAGACAGACAAACAGACAGACGGATAGATAAGATAGATAGATAATGACATATTTTTGGATCGTGTACGGAGTAGCTGTTACGGAGAATAGCGGTTGTGCTGTACATGTTGAGTTTGCCGCAGTGCTGTGTGGCTTTCGTGGACAGTAGATGGTCTTATACTGACCTGTGATGAACAACTGGAGAAGATGTAATGGGAACAAACTGCGATGTGTCTGCAAGCCTTATCCCGGCAAACGTAATTACAGAAATATACACAAAATCTGTCAGTGTCGGACCTTCCAAATGAAGCAGGAACGCAAACTAATTAACAGCGACGCTGGGTATAGATTTCAGTTCCAGTCGTTCTGATAGACGTGTCACCATATAAAACACAACACATCAAATTAAGAATCATTCAGTAGTTATCATCAGGCCACAAACTTTGTGCGATCATCAAATTTTATTGTGTTTAACTAATACATACGTATATAACTGTTTTCGTGGAAATAAATGCGTGACTGATTTGTCTCTTAAAACGTTCAGCATAGAGAGGAACAGATTTAAAAATAACAAGCAATTAATGAAGAATTAAGCGGATAAATCAATTATGGTAATCCTACCAGAAATTAGGAAAAAAAAAAAAAAAGAAACTCAGTGACTTTAATCAGCAAGGGAACTATACCGACCGAGCGATCACCGCTTGTCAGCGAAGTTAGTGCCAAATTTAGCGGATAGAGGGTGTGAGCGCAACGGATCCCTAAGGCTGTTAATTTCAGTTTTCTAGACCGGAGCCACTATTTCCTTGAAATAGCTCCTTAACTATCCTCATGAGGCTGAGTGGACCCGTTCCAGACCGACTACTTCTCAGAAAATCTGGTAGCGCTGGGAATCGAAACCGGGACCTGTTGATCTGTAGCCAGGAACTCTGACCACTAGACCACAGAGCAATGACTAAAAGTGCTCTATGTACCCTTTACCCCTACACCTGTGTTAATACCCATCTGTGGGCGCAGAACAGCTGAGTTATCACGTCACACCCCAACATTACCTGCCTTGATGGTCGTGGGTCACTGGTCCTCCAAAACCAAATACCTGCCAAATACAAGTCTAAATCGTTACCACTGCAGTAACCTGCTGGATACTTATTTTCTTTCGTGCTCAAATTAGAGAATCAAAAAACAAAAATCACAGCTAACCGCAGAGCTTGCTACTGATGTAACACAGACGAAGGTACTATGTATTTAAAAAAAATGTCCATTATACCACGTGATGAAGTAGCCAGTGTTCTGGAATCCGGGCAGTACATCAACTCCTCTCTCGTTCCACCGTCTGATTCTTGCTCCCTTGTGATAGTCTGGGCCCCACGCCCCCCACAATTCCTTCGCCCAACTTATTCTAAAACTGCAGTTTACTCTCCCTTTCTCGTGTGGTACTGTCCCTTCATCCTTCCCAGCCAAATCCAACGGCCTGGAACAGAACGCAGCACCTGCCCATTTTACCCAGCCACCCCTAAATAATACGTTACCCTCATCTCAGGGGAAACACTCCAACCGAAATAAATGGGACAGTAAAACCTGCAATATGGCAGCCAATTCTAACATTTTCGCTTTCGCTGTTACACACGAAATCAGTTAAGATATAGCTCTCACAGAAACGGAGAGTGGGGGGTATGTATCGCTATATATATATATTTCAACTATGCGAAGAAAACTACAATTCTAACAGCGACATAGCCATGCTCCCTGTCACACCCTCTTCCTGCCACGCCTCATGGGACAATAAGAGTCGAGGGACGAGGGGAATAAATTCAAAAATGGAAGAAAGCAGTAAGAAATTAACAATATACATTACTGGCAAGTCTGTGTACTATTCAGAAAGTTATACGGAAAGTCCTTTCTATGCTACAACACCCTAAACCGGTTATAAATTGTATCTATATTGCGGCATGTAGACACGCTGATAAGTAATGACTACATAAACAACGTCCTTTGCTAGGCAACGACCGCGGAATAAGCAAATATACGGCAATCGTTGCTAGGTAACGGCTTGGCAAGCATACATGTTCCCACGGCAACGATTGAACTATAACAATGAACGGTGCTTTCTATGCGATCCGTGCTAAGAGGTTATAAAACGATACACCTTTAGAGTTTAGTCAGTGGAACGCTTCACGATTTTGTGTGTCATCCTTGCGCAGGGGCCATCCTAATCTCCTCCGTATCGTTCCAATTTTAGTACATGTAATGCAGAAGCAACATGAAGAATTTTCAATAACATATCGTATAGCAAGTGTCACGTAACTTCGAACAAGCACAAGAGTAACCTTGAATGCGCAGAAGAAAAATTTTAGACAAGGGGGTGAAGGGTGTGAGAAGTGACAGGCGGCCAGTGGAAGAACGAGTGTTAAGAAACTCCTCCCACCACAAGCTATGCGCGGGATTTGACTAGGAATGAGGGGCCTTATTCGAAGTTACGTGACACTGTCCATAAGTGCTATACGTGACCTTGACAAAATGTCAAGCATATTCGTTAGAGACAAAACCATCTTCTCGTCAGAGAGGATGTTAAGTAAGGACTATTACCGCAAGGGTTCAGTTGAAAAACAAAATATCTCTGGTCTAAGTCTCAAGGGGCTTGACGACAAGACGAACTGACTGGCGGTAAACCGAAAGCGTAAAGTAACTCTGACTTTGATTTTAGTCAGATATGGGATATTCGTCAACCGGTAAGGACTTTATTAGAGGACATTCTTAAGATCCGTTACCTGAAATGACAACTGAAGACGTGGCGCCGTGTAAATCTTTTGTGAACCGACGTTTCGGAAGAACGTATCGCTTCCACCTTCCGGGTAGAAAACCCCGCTAGCGAGCAACCAGCGTCAACTGGCTCAACGCTGGTTGCTCGCTACCGGATTTTTCTACCCTGAAGATGGAGGCGATACGTTCTTCCGAAACGTCTGTTCACAGAAGATCTACACGGTGCTATATCCATGAAGACGGAATTCATTATACTCACCGCCGTGAAATTCTCAAACCTTACATGTTTGTATGTGTTCAATAAATCCAATCACCAATCAAAACCCAGTCTGTCACTCACACACGTGACAAGATATCGTTCTGCACCGGTCAGACCAGTTCTGCACAACTGCTTCGTACCACGTCCATTTCAAATCCTTATTCGTCAGTTATTTTCTCTCTTAACGTTGTATCTTGGGGGCACGCGGTAACGTAGTTGGCTAAGGCACTAAGCTATAAGCCGGAAGGTCGCGGATTCGAGTCCCGATGAGGTGGAATTTTCAATCGATCTGATCCTTCCACTATGGACCTGGGGGTCGACTCAGCATCTAAAAGAAACGAGTACCAGGAATATTCTTGGGGGTAAAGCGCGGTCGGTGCGTAAAGCTGACAAACTTACCGCCATCTGTGAGCCGACTGTCTAGAGAAAATGTGAGAGTCTCAATGTCTCACAACGCCATGAGCCTCGACGGCCTGTTTACAGGGATAGCTTTACCTTTACTTTTTATCTTAACGTTGTATCTTCGGCTGCCCACAGCGACCTTAATTAAACTGACAATAAATGAACAGATAAACAAATAAATAAAGCTCTCGCGTCCTCACGCCATACATTCGCGTGTTCGCCATGTTGGTATTTCCGATTTAAAAAAATAAACAAAAATACGAGATTCAGCTCGCCTCCAACAGCATATCAAACCAAATTTCATGAAAGCTGGTCAAAGTTCAAAGTTGAAGGCAGACACAAAGATAAGAAATACAAGTATGCTTTTATGAAAAGCGGTTAAACAACTAAAGTGGGATTCGAAGCTGCGACCCAAATGGTTACTATTTCTACGACCACGCAAACAACAGTAGCAGATTTTTTTCTCTCTATGGCTCTACCGACTTTTGGATCTTGGCCGCTTTTTCAGTTTCTTAAGCCCATACACAGTCGGTAGGACTCCTTGTACGGGGGATAAGCCCATCGCAAGGCCGCTATCTACACTCAAGACGACACAAACACGGAATAAACACACAAAGACATTCATGCCTCGAGTGGGATTCGAATCCATGATGCCAGTGTTCGAGCGGGCGAAGACCGGCATTACCAACACAATTCATAATCAAGCACCGCCCGCGATAGACTTGTGCAACGTGTTCTCATTTTGCTTAAATGCTTTGTGTCTGAGAGTTAAAGGTAGCCCCTCATCCATCATCTATACTTAGACATTGTGTGATAAGTAAATTTCATTACTCGGCTCCTGAGCCACAGGCCTACTTCAGTATAACGAACCTGCAAAATAGTTCAGACTGAAGGATACTGCAACGAAACAAAGCCGCCAAGCTGCCTGCTTCACGAAGTTATACGTCAAATACTGCGCAGAAGATAGCGACACATCTGACTGAACCACCTACCAACTTCGGTTGATGTCATTTATTTAGATGGATGTAACCTCCAGGGCGTACCGCAGTGGTTCCAACCGAACAGTTATTGCGTAATCCGATTCTCATGGAATTATTAGCACACCGGTAGTCTTTGTTCTAACCTCCGTCTGCAGAAACATTGTCAGCTTTATCTTTTCAGTAATCTGTCATGTCATGGAAAAGTAGTTCCTTGGTATTCAGGTCTCATTAACAGAAACCTTTCCGATAACGTGACATGGAAAAGACAGTAACAATAAAAAATTACGTTAACGAAGAGCAGATTAAAATGGAGATTGTTTGTTGCGTTTCAGTTCAGGATCCTTCGTTTCCTATCTATAAACACAAACATTAAAATATATATAACTAAAATATTATATCGTGTTTTATATGGGTGTAATATGTTGTCTCTTGTAGAATGAACATACGTTCAGGGTGTTTTAAATAGGGCGTCAAGAATATATGAACCTGAGAGCGAGAGAGAGAGATTTTTAATGCTAGTGGGGTGGGACTAAGTCCCTTGTACTGCGGCCACTTCTGGCCTATTTTACCAGCCCCAAATGATAGGTGAGGGTGATTGTGGAGCAATTGGTGGAATGATGATTGGCAGGGGAAACCGAAGCACTCGGAGAAAACCTGCCCCAGCGCCACTTTGTCCACCACAAATCCCACTTGACCAGACCCGGGATCGAACCCGGGCTACCGCGGTGGGAAGAGAGAGAGAGATAGAAGTAACAGTATGAACAAAAATTATATAAGCATAATGAGAGTTACACAAATTGTAATCATTTTTCAGCTTCTATTATCAGGTGAAGGAGGACTTTATATGCGGGACATGCAAAACACATGGAAAATGCATGTACACAATATCTTCATTCGAAAAACTCAAGAGGAATATTAAAAGGATACAAGAGAAAGACGTTGTGTGAATATTTACTGGATTCAACTGGCTAAGGATAAGGTCCGATAGCAGCTATTGTGAAAATGATAATGAAACTTCGGATTCCATAAAAGGCAATAAATTTCTTGACCACCTGGCCGACCATCAGAATCGAAAATAAATAAATAAAATAATCTCCACAAGTGTCAGAAAAATATTCTGCGTCTAATGACTCGCTACATATGCGAAGAGACTTTAAGAGTTGATATTCGTGAAGTATTTCGCCGTCTTTCCTACCTAAAAGTCATTTCAGTACAGAAAAACCTTCCGACTTTTAGGAAGAGTTTCTCATTTATCTTTAACCCGAATGACGAAATTATCTTCTGAAATGTCAGGAATTAATTCAATACGGATGCCGCTTGTACACGGAAATACTACGCTGACTGCTTCACTATGATAATGGCGACAAAGTAGTTTGTTAACTCCAGAAGTTTCAACTTCAGTATCCACTGTTAACTTTTCTTCTTTTAGTTTCTGGGGGTGGGGTAGGATGAGACCGAGCCCACTTGGTAACCTGGCCACAACCCGGCCTATTGTACCAGCCCCAGATGATAATGATGGTGACTGTGGAGCAATTGGTGGAATGAAGATTGGCAGGGGAAACCGAAGTACTCGGAGAAAACATACCCTATTGCCGCGTCGTCCACCACAAAACCACATATGACCCGGGATCGAATCCGGCTCGCCGCGGTGGCAAGTCAGTAACTAACTACCTGAGTTATGGCACGGCTTTACTTCCCGCAGTAATAAACCGCCATTTTTGCCGGTCTTTTTTCATATAAAAATTTCTTGATTTCAAATGCAGGAAAAAATTCCTTCAAAATGTTTCGTGACTATGTAATTCAGATAATATGCCAACAGATGTCATACGCTGATAGATATTAGCAATTTTTTAAAGGTTTAAATCTTCAACCCGAATAGCATAGGCAGATACTACATAAGGCCAAATTTTTCGATACTTGGCATTTATAAGGTTACACAGGTTCAGTGCCTGGAATTCAACAGCCACGCGGCTCGCGGTTTGGGAAACCCGTGCTTACAAGAGGTGAAAAGGCAGCTTCTGATATATCTAATAACACCCCTTCAGAGGCGCCACCAGTCGAGGTGAGGAGAGTAATTTCACACGGCGAGCGGAGATAACGTGCCGTATAAAAGGTGCGCAGTTCCTTTGTCTCTCTCTCTCTCTCTCTCGCGCCCATAGAGCGGCGCCTCCCTCTCCAAACCCTAACCAAGCATCGCAGCCATTCTAACCGACATAACCATCAGTGTTAAAGCTAAGTGGTGATATGTCAACCCAATAAACTGTGTTCAACGTTGCGACAAGTTGAGAGAACACGCAATGATGAAGGCGTGGGGCGGGACTTTGCCTGCTGTTGGCAATTCAAGATACGGTGTTGCCGGCGTGGCAAGGAATTCTACTGGCTACTGACATAAGTTTCCGGCATGAAATGGAATTTACTGGTTACTGACATACGTTGCTGGCGTGACACGAAATTCTACTGGCTACTGATATGCGTTGCTGGCGTGGCACGAAATTCTACTGGCTACTGACATACGTTGCTGCCGTTACACAAAATTCTACGGGCTACTGACATACGTTGCTGGCGTTACACAAAATTCTACTGGCTACTGACATACGTTGCTGGGGAGACACGAAATTCTACTGGCTACTAATATGCGTTGCTGGCGTGGCACGAAATTCTACTGGCTACTGATATGCGTTGCTGGCGTTACACAAAATTCTACTTGCTACTGACATACGTTGCTGGGGAGACACGAAATTCTACTGGCTACTGATATGCGTTGCTGGCGTGACACGAAATTCTACTGGCTACTGATATGCGTTGCTGGCGTGGCACGGAATTCTACTGGCTACTGACATACGTTGCCGGGAAGACACGAAATTCTACTGGCTACTGATATGCGTTGCCGGCGTGGTACGGAATTCTACTGGCTACTGACATACGTTGCTGGCGTGACACAAAATTCTACTGGCTACTGACACACGTTGCTGACGTGGCACGGAATTCTACTGGCTACAGATACACGTTGCCTGCGTGACACGGAATTCTACTGGCTACTGACATACGTTGCTGACATGACACAAAATTCTACTGGCTACTGACATACGTTGCTGGCGTGACACAAAATTCTACTGGCTACTGATATGCGTTGCTGGCGTGACACAAAATTCTACTGGCTACTGACACACGTTGCTGACGTGGCACGGAATTCTACTGGCTACAGATACACGTTGCCTGCGTGACACGGAATTCTACTGGCTACTGACATACGTTGCTGACATGACACAAAATTCTACTGGCTACTGACATACGTTGCTGGCGTGACACAAAATTCTACTGGCTACTGACATACGTTGCTGGCGTTACACAAAATTCTACTGGCTACAGATACACGTTGCCTGCGTGACAACGGAATTGTACTGGCTACTGACATAATTCCAATGACTCTGACAGCTACAGATTCACAACAGATTATTATTACAATTTTAAACTTTAACCATTAACCATTTACCTTTGCCGTCCGCCGCGATTTCTCATTTAATAAAGTAACCATGAGACAGACGGCCTGGATAAGATTTCCGACAGATGATGGACCATGCAGGTTAATTCTGTACAAAACTGAAATGTTATCACTCTCCTTCTAATGCCGAGGTCAACAAAGGTGGAATCATACATCCACTCCCCCATGAGTCTTCATGGCATGGCGCTTAATTAATTCAGCTCAGGAATATCTTCACTTCACCTTACAAATCGCCGTGAAAGCTGCAGTGTTTAAGTAATTAATATAATCCTTCTGTTAATCATTAATGTGATGTTACTGCTATTCACTGATTCACCAATGGCTCTGCAGCCCTTTGTTGGGCCTGGCCTCTTCTTCAGTTCCGTAAGCTTTCTTACACAGGCGGTGGGGCCCTCTGGACGAGTGATCAGCCCGTCGCAAGGCCGCTACATACACGCAGGACAACACGAACACAAAGAAAAGCGCATACACAGATATCCATGCCTTGAGTGGGATTCGAACCCACCTAGCGTTCAAGCGAGCGAAGGCAGTTCATGTCCCAGACCACACGGCCACTGTGATCGGCATTATTATTATTATTATTATACCATGGCCATCATCATCAACATGCAACTGTCCACGAGGTTCACTTCATGCACTAAACAGAAGCACCCACTGTTGGTAAATTTCCCTGAAATGGATGCAAAGGGAGAACACCGCGCCGAGAATATGTGATGAAGAGAAATGAAAAGATAGCGGCGAGGAAGAAAGGAAGCAATAAAGTATGCGAGCATCTGAGGAAATTAGAACAATTACTTCTCACAGTAGGGCTTGAAGGGGAGATGAGATGGTAGATCGCACGGAGGACCCGTAAATGTATGGCTTGATTAAGCAATGGCGGTATTTCATGTGTATGCAGAAGCTGAAGCTATTCAACTTACCGCGAGCCCATCTACAGTATGGTGCTGCAGTCTAGTGGCGAGGAATGAAATCTTGCAGCCTGTAACATACACGATACCGCAGGGTTGTGCTTAGATACAGGGGTTCGATACCCGTAACTGTCTGGAATGAAACATTTCTCGAGGCCCACACATTTTCTAGACAATCGGCTCATAGATGGCGGTAAGGTTGTCAGCCTTACGCGCCGGTCGCCCTTTATCCCCCAGGAAAATTCCTGATACTTATTTCTGCAGAGGCAAAGTCAATCCCAGGGACATAGCGAAGCTGGAAGGATTAGGTCAATTGAAAAATTCTAATTAGCACATCGGGAATAGAATCCGCGACCTTCCGGCTTGTAGCATAGTGTCTCAAACCAACTACGCTACAGCGTGCCCTTAAGAGATTTGGTGGAATTTTTTGTAGATATGATATAGAGAAAACTGGGTGCTCTTGACAACCAAACCCAAGCCGAGTTTCTAGTTAGTTCATTAACTGAATTACTTGGGTTCCTGGTTAAATTGGGACCTGATACGTTTCATACAGTTTGCAACATTATCAATCGAGGCTCATCGTGGAAAACACTTGCATATTACATAAGGATTTCATGCAACTTCTGTTTCGAACACTTCAGACACACTGAATCTGTTCAACGAAACATAAATTAAGAGGAACAAAATAAGACTTGCTGTATGTACGAGTACATCAGATACAGATTTCAGTCTATATCAAGTGAACACATGTGCCAATAAGGTACATGCAAAACACTAAATAACGCCTACCTGCACCCACCGGATTAAACTTCTACAAATCTGCCCTTATATTAGGGGCGACTTTTGACAGAATATTAAAACTTCATATTAATATGGCCGTGCCATAGCTCAGGCGGTTAGTTTCCGATTTCCCGCCGCGACGGCCCGGGTTCGAGCACAGGGTCAGGTCATGTAGGATATGTGGTGGACAAAGTGGCACTGGGGCAGGTATTCTCCGAGTAGTTCGCTTTCCCCTGCCAATTCTTATTCCACTAACTGCTCCACATTAATCACCTATCATTCGAGTCTGCGATATAGGCCAGTTAGTGGCCGACGTACCAAGTAGACTCAGTCCCACCCCACTTGAACAAAGTAAAAAAAAAAAACCCTAACTAAACTAATATTAACATGGCACAGAACTGTTTTTGGTGTTAACTGCGCACATCACCAACTCTGCTTCATTTACGCATCTCGCTTCCCAGAGTCATGCAGCCTGGGCCGTGCAATCCGTGCAGCACCAGCTTCGCACATGCGCAGAAAATCAAGTAACATAAGAATGAGCCGAATTAACAATTGCTCCACACGTCATGAATCACTAATTCTTAGTTATACAGTAACTTCGCATCAACTACATAAGCAATTTAGGGTCAAGTACGATGGGATAATGATTATGAACGATAAATAAGGAAGAATGTTGAGTAGTCGTGGCATATTTAAAGGCGTTATCCCAGAATTTGCTGGAGAAAGTGAGGAAAAGCATTATTATGGTAACAATGCTGTATAATCCTTTAAAGTCAATCAATGTTTCGATGGAACATATCGCCTCCAATTTCAAAGTCGAAGAGCAGGCTAAGCAAGATACCATCATGGGAACAGGGTGTTTGCTATTTGCCTACTTCATGCTGGATTCTTGCTTAGCTTATTCATCAACCCTGAAGATGAAGGCGACATGTTCTTCTGAAAATTCGGCTGTCTTAGAATGGACTAAGATGCCATAAGATGTAACTATTCAAAACCATTGCTGTGAGAACCTCAAATCCTACTTAAAAAAAGCATGCAGGATAGCCGATAACTGAAACAAGTATTTCTCAAACATGTCATTACCGCCACAGAAATCTGATCTGTTTTCTTTTTCATTGGCGCTACAGCCCTCATTTGGGCCTAGGCCTACCTCCATGAAACTCTCCGTTTCACTTCGGTTTACTAGATCTTACACATACGGTAGGAATCCTTGGGCGGGTGATTAGCTCGTCGCAAGGCCTCTACCTGTACACAAACACAGAAAAACGCAAACAAACATCCTTGCCCTGAGTGGGATTCGAACCCACGATCCCGGCTTCCAAACGAGCAAAGACAGTGCATGCTTTAGACCGCTCGGCTGCCGTGACCGGCAAGCTGATCGGGTTATGTACTATAAAATATTCGGCTTTGTGTTTCACTTACCTCACAGTTGGAGTGGCTGATGTTGCTCAAATTTAACCTGAACACACGATCCCTGCAAAGAACAGAAGATTAAAACAATTATAAACATGTTCACGCATGAAAGTTTGTCTTTTTTAACTTCTAGGGTCTAATATTAAATTGTCAGTACCACCTGCTGTCTTTCTTGATTCACACAAAGTGCACATGTTCTTCTGTAAAGAAGCCTACTTATACACATCAAAAGAACCGCATCCTGCTTTTGAACACACAAACCTCCACCCCACCCCACCCCCCGCCCCCAAAAAAAGAACTGTGCGGGCAGGCAGAAGGCAAGTAACTTGGTTAGGAGCTCAAAGGGTTGCTATAGAACACACACGCTGCGTGCGTGTACAGGACTGCGCATAGTAATAACATTCGTGGGAAAGCCGGCAGTACTCGTATGACATCACAGCAATCCAAAACATGCGGTTAAGTAACTGCAAATTTCCAGAAGCCCGGTTAATATGTTAACAAGCCTTCTGGTTATCCATTGCAGAGTTCGACTCAGTCTCCGGTTGTTAGTATAGAAAGGTGTTTACTTCATATGATAAACTTTACCTTGACGAAGCATCACTGTGTACTTTACCATTCTCTTCTGGCTGAAACATTCTTTAATAACTTGACGATGTTGTTTCGACTACGATACCGAATAGAAATGAGGCATGGGAGAGAACATAATGAACAGTACTATGTGTGTCATTAAACCGGGCTGGCTCAGTCGGTAGAGCGACTTGCTACTGGCTAGAAGACTGAGGGTTCGGAGTTCGAGTCTCAGTACGGTCAAGAATTTTCTCTTCTCCACGTCGGCCACTCCAGCCCTTGGGCCCATCCAGCCTATCCAATAGGCACTGGGGGCTCTGTCTCGGGGGTAAACCAGCCGGGGCGTAAAGCTGACAACTCACCTCAAACTAGTGCCGAGGTGAAGTAAACGTGGATCTATACTTCCACTTACCTATACGCCTTCATAGCGTAGTGCTTAATTAATTAATTAGTTAAGCATAAGGACAGCTTTATCTTCTGTGTGTCAGTACCAACTAAGTGTCCATCGTCACACGATCGCTAAATCAGATCAAGTACCACTTCTATGGAGTCCATACAGGTAAAGGTAAAGTCGTCCGTGTGTAATTAATGAACGCCGATCCCAGTGGCCGCGCGGTCTAAGGCATGAGCTGTCTTCGCCGTTCGAACACTGGGATCGTGGGTTCGAATCCCTCTCAAGGCACGAATGTCTGTGTTTATTCTGTTTCTGTTGTTCTGTGTGAAGGTAGCGGCCTTGTGATGGGCTGATCCCCCGTCCAAGAGTCCTACCGACTGTGTATAGGATTAAGAAAGCGGCCAAGGTCCGAAAGGCTGTAGAGCCAGAGCCAGAGAGAGAGAGAGAGAGAGAGAGAGAGAGGTAATTTAAATTTTATTTTATATACAAAATTCTAAAATCTTGTCTGACACAATTCCATGTCCTGTTGGCACTTCGGGAGATCCAAGAATTAGTCTGAAAATATCGAACATTTCCAATGTTTTTCTCAAGTTAATCTGAAGTTACACATAATTCTGTAATTCACTTCGTCTAATTAATGAAACACTGAGCAATTATGGATCTGTAAAATGTGTTACATACGGAATTCAACGCTAAAGTGACACCAAAACGAACGTGCCGAGAAAGTGAATCAAACAATGTCGGGATAGAGAATAAGAAAGATCGAAAAAACCTCCACCACGTCTTTCACTTTTGGCATGTCCTCACTTCCATTATCTGTTTCTTGTGGGTCTTATAACACACACACAAAAAACAGAGAATGGTTCTTCGCATAAAGCATGTTCCCTCTGATCTTTGCTCACTTCTTTCACTTTATATCTTCCCCTTCTTTTCTACTTTTCGCTGTAACTTTATTTTTCTCCCCTTAGACACAAGCTTCTTTTTTGTCCCCCGTAGTCTCCTTGATCTAGAAAAAAAAAAGAAGAAAAGGAAGGCGCAACAGAATAACACGGTACCTCCAGGGAAGGAAAGATCCGTACAGACATGAAGCTTGCCCTTCGTCAGAAATCTTATCAGGTAACACTCGCTGGTACAAGGAGAAAAACTTACACCACTCACTTTCAAGTTAAACCAAGCGAACAAGTGTTTAGAATGCAGATTGCAATCAGTCTGCACATGATGAACAATAAATTGGATTTGATTCTTTTTATAAGTATCCTTTTTGAGTTCCATTTTAAATCCGCGATGCTGGTATGGACCCTTGGGGGGGGGAAACGAAAAGAGAGAAAGTAATAAGAAATTTGATATAAAAGATAAGAGAAAATAGTGAAATGAAGTCCGAAAAGGAGAAATTGAAAGTATAATGTGTGACAATGAATAGCAACAATAAAAATATTACAATACAATTTGCATGTATAAAAGCCTACACAATGCGAGGTGTAGGAGGAAGTTAAAGTTGGGAACAAAAAATATAAGCATAACAAAGAAAAGTGACGAGCCCGAAGAAACTAAACCGATCTGTAATAAGAAGACCACACCAGGGGTGTATACAAATTTAACAGGTGTCCAAAGAAACATAAATAAAAGGAGCTCATTATTAGCTGATAATTTTAAATTGAGATAGAAATGATACAGACTAAACTTAAGATTAAAATGACTGTGTAAAAAGAAAACATTACATAAAGACGCATAGAAGGACTGAGGTCAGGCTTCATTTATTCTTAACCTTGTCACTAGATCGAGTGATGAGATCCACCATCTGGCCGCTTTACCTCAAGGTACCAATCTCCCGCCAGTACCCGCTGGAGAAGAGGCACGTGGATTCCACATACGGCGTCGAAGGGAAAGAATCCCTGAGCCTACCGGGAACTGAACCTTGTTCGTCCACTCCGAATCCAGTCATTTTATTGAGTTATCATCGCTTAGTAGAAAAGACGTTTTGCATTAACACAAATCGTGAGGTTCCTTTGCGTCACATTCTCCCTCATATCACACAAAATTACCTGATTCTCAGTTTAATTAACGAAGCGATTTCAATTTCTTACGTGATGTGGTGTACATTAGTAGGATACGTATGAACGATGGATTTAAAAAAATGTGGAAAGAAGTGACCGTGGCCTGTTTTAAGGTATGCTAGAAATTTCATTAAGGGAATGCGCAAAACGACGAAAACATCTATCAAGATATTCGAGCTCTGAGCTAAGATTCAAACCCATGACCTCACGAAAACGGAACAAGAGTGCTAACCTCTCAACCGCAATGTCTGCTCATACCCACTTGCTAAGGAATGAAACGATGAGGACGGTTGAGACGTGAGTGATAGCAGTCAGTGACTGATGCCACACCTGTTGCAGTGCTGGACTTCCCGACGGTCACGCTGAACCAGATAACATACTGAAATATGGGACTAATTTACTTACGTCACTGAGAGATAAATTCCGGGAATCCCAATATGTTTTTATAAAGATAGATTTTACTATCAGCACGAGAATATTAAGTAATTTTTCTCATCAAAATTATATTTTAAAACTCTCACAAACTTATCTTAAACATGATATCAATTCAAAAGCATGGAAATCAAGAATTCTGAATATATTCCGTACGTGTACAACATTTACATTACAGCCCAGGCCTCAAGCCAGTAGTTAGTTATGAGTCGCAACTGTAATCGAAAATGTAAGTGAAGAAGCCGCCAGCCAGCGAGGACAGAGCGGTTAAACACGGAATCTGAGGAATATGCATTGTTAAGAGCCGTTACCAGGCAACGACTAGTGGAGACGAACTGAGAAGATTTAGCGCGTACTATAATCAGTTGTAAAGCGCGTGAATTAGTGACAGTGCTATAATTCTTTGTAGTTATGAGTTTTAAAAGTCAAATTGGTCCAATTAACAATCCAAAATTCTACATGAAAATGTCCGCATCACATGAAGGCCTATTTGCTTGAAAGATTACACGGCAATGTATAAAGACAGGTAAGCATACAAATGATAGAAAGCAAAGAGGTCGGACATGAAAATGTAGCCTCATTCCCAATATTCACAAGATGGCGCATAGAGCAATGAAAAAATTTTTCTCAATAACCAAAGGTCAAGAAAGCGTGGATCTATACATCCACTCCCCCCTACGTCTACATGACGCAGTGCTTAATTAGTTAGGCACAGACACTAATTTTGCTTAATGTGTTCTGTCCCCCTCCACTCCTCTCACTTTGTAATTAGCTCTGAACTGTTAAGTTCGCACGTAAATAAATAAAAACTGAATTGAAAAACCCCCCACCCCAATTCACGCTACGCGGCAAAGAGAGTAGCAGTGGGCATGAATCGCGCTATACACAGAACTGTTCGACTTATCATGGCTGCCTGAGCCGCGTCACACAAGGGCCTTTCCTGTCGGATGAATACGAAATCACCAACACTTCCGTTCTCTTCCAAAAATTGCACTTCCCTTCATTTCTGACGCACAGGCAAGCCCTTGCTCCACTCCCGTCCCTACTCAAGCACGCCACATAGCATGTTACTGTCCATTTCTAGGCATAAAATGCTAAAATTTCTCTCCACTGAGGCAAATAACTCTAATTCGTTGCGGTGACTTCCTCTTGGAAGTACTGAAGTCCAGACACTTCACTGCAGACTGAATGGCATTGTCAGAAAACCTTTTAAAAATACCCAATATTAAGATTGTACTGCTGAAACACCTATTGCTACAATATATAGAAGAAATTGTTTGATACAAAATTTCAGACAACATAAGCTCCTACGATCGTCCTGTTCCTAAAATATTTCTGCGTAAAACACTCAATGCCGGTCACGGTGGCCGAGCGGTCTAAGGCATGTACTGTCTTCGCTCGCTTGGAAACCGGGATCGTGGGTTCGAACTCCACTCAGAGCATGGATGTTTAGTTTGTGTGTGTGCGTTTTTCTATGTTTGTGTACAGGTAGAGGCCTTGCGACTAGCTGATCACTCGCCCAAGGAGTCCTACAGTATGTGTAAGATCTAGAAAAACCGAAGTGAACGGAGAAGTTCATGGAGGTAGGCCTAGGACCACTGGGGCTGTGGTGCC